CACAAATTAAGACTTAAGGACCGGCACGCAATAGAGGCAAAATATTGGGAATAAGAATTAATATTGAATATTAGAAGAGAGAACAGAGAGAAATTAAGTATAATGCACAATGAAATGTGCACAATGAAAGACATAAAATATATTACTATAAGAATTGCGTTGTGTAGTGGTAATCCACAAATATTTATATTTCAGCTTGTGAATTTAAGCAATGTTTTCCTGACCACTTCTTAAAGTATTCATCTCGAATTCAATAAATGTAAACTTTATGAATTCAAGGGGAATAGTGTTAGAACAAAGAGGATTAAAAAACATTTACCCAATGTATGTACACATCTAATATGCAGTAACATTACACCATTATTATAATTTCTCACTCAACAGTGAGATACTCTCAACCGAAGCTCGTTGACAATCGGATGATTCTTCCGTTTCGGTTCTCGTCGTTCGATTCTTTCTTCTACACAATAGAACTATTGCACAAAATTAATTGCACATAACGTTACGCACACAAAATATTGCACGTGGTAACACGCTGCACAAGAACGTCCGGATGGCGGTTAGCGGATACTCGCGCATGACAAATAATTCCTCATAAATTCTTAAAGTATTCACAGTACTGAATCGCGAAGTATTCATTATAATGAACTTCAGAAGAATACTTCAAGACGAACTGTTTGAGACTAAATAATTCTTCAAGAATTCTTCAGATATTCATTTTTCTAATTCTGTATGTTTTCTTTAAAATGAATCCTCTATGAACTTATGTTCATCTTTGTGCTATCTGGGAAAAATGTAGTAACGATGGGATATAAAAGTTTGTTACTCTCAAAATATATTATTTAAAATTGGTTGGAAATGCATGCGAAGTGCGACACCTCGATTTTCGAGGTATCGAGACGATCGATGTTGCGTCACCAATCACCGTCCACTCAGGTCCGTTCGTGTCGAAGTGCATCTCGGCCCGTCATTTGGCTTCCGCAGCCGTCCGTAGCGCTCGTGGTTCGCGTGCAGCAAATGGAGTGCGGCTGAATTGTCGTCTGCATAACATAACCTTCTAACCAATTTTTGGACCCCGACAGTAAACAAGTGGGGCGATTCTGCCGAGCGGTTTCTCCGCCTGAGGTACGTAATTAAGGTCGGTAAAGTAATTCGTGGCCATTTAGGAAGGACGTGACCTCGTGTCCGCTCAGTCACGCTCAGTTATCTCAGCGGTAGCGCTCGATTGCTTCATCGCCGCGATACGCGAGTCGTTTTGCGAATGTAATCGTATTTTGACTGGAGGCGCTTTAATCTTCGACGGGAGACGGGTCTTTTTCGCGTTGCAGAATATCCCGCGATGTCTGAGAACGCGAGCGAGGCGGCGCTGCCGGCCGAGAAGGAAGCCGCTGCCGCCGAGGAGTCGCCGAGCGTCGTCTCGGAGGAGGACCGGCAGTTCTTGACAGAGTACGTGCAGGAAACTGAGCAGAGGCTCGCGACGAAGGAGGAGATTCGCGCGGCCAATCTGAACCCCACGAGGCCGCCGGACGCGTCGTTCAGCAAGCTCGACTCGAGCCTCAAGCGGAACACCACGTTCGTGAAGAAGCTCAAGAACTTCAGCATGACCCAGCTCGACACGGTGCTGAAGGACATGGCGAATTTGAACCTGACCAAGTACGTGAGCGAGGTGGCCACCGCTCTGGTGGACGCCAAGATCAAGATGAACGACGTCGCGCCCGCCATCAGGGTGTGCAGCTTCCTCCATCAGACGTACGCCGAGTTCTCCGTTCACTTCTTCGAGAACTGGCAGAGGATACTGTCGTTGAAGACCTGCGACAAGATCGCGAATCCCAGCAAGCTGAGGGTGGACCTGCGATTCTACGCCGAGCTGGTGAACGCTGGGATATTCACGCACAAGCAGGGCTTGCCGCTGCTCGGCTCGGTGCTCACTGTGCTGATTAACATGGACAAGGAGGAGCACAATAACGCCAGCATCATATTGAGCTTCTGCCGGCACTGCGGCGAGGACTACGCCGGTCTCGTGCCGAAGAGAGTGCGCGAGCTGTCCGAGAGGTTGAACGTTTCGATTCCAAAGAGTAAGCTACTGTCGCCGGACAAGCAGCAGAACGTAAGGCTGCTGCTGCGCGAGTATTACAACTCCATGTGCAAGCACATGGTGAAGGAGCACAAGGAGCTGCAGGCGTTCGAGAAGCAGAATCGCAAGATACTCCAGACCAGGGGCGAATTGAGCTCGGAGCGGAAGGAGAAGCTGGACGCTCTGCAAGTTTCTTACGAGCGTCTGTTGACCAGCGTGCAGAACTTCTCCGACACGCTGGACGAGCCGATGCCCGAGCTTCCGGTGGACAACGAGGTAAAGGTGGAGGCGGAGGAAACGCTCAAGATGATCAACGAGGGCGAGGACAGCACCTTGTTGGAGGATATGTGGGGCGACGACGAGACGAGACGCTTCTACGAGGTGCTACCGGATCTGGTGGTCCTCCTACCGGGCTCGTACCTCAAGGACACCCCGAAGGACACCGCGAAAACGGACGCGGCGATAACGGAGGACGCTCTCGACGAGGAAATTGTCTTCGACGAGCTCGAGGAGACCGAGAAGATCGAGGAGCCGCCGGAGGTGGAGGTGGAGGAGCCGCAGGTGTCCAATACGAGCAACAAAATCATGCTGGACGCTTTCTTCACGCATCTACCGAATTGCGTGAATCGCGAGTTGATCGACAACGCCGCGGCCAACTTCCTGATACACCTCAGCACGAAGCACAACAAGAAGAAGCTGGTGAAGGCGCTCTTCGGCGTTTCTAGGATCCGCCAGGACCTGCTGCCCTTCTACTCGCGCCTAACCGCCATTCTCTATCAGGTGATGCCCGAGATCGGCAATGACCTCTGCCAGATGCTGAAGCAGGACTTTAAGTACCACGTGCGCAAGAAGGATCAGATCAACATCGAGTCGAAGATCAAGGTGGTCCGCTACATCGGCGAGCTCGTCAAATTTAAACTCTACTCCAAAATAGAGGCGCTCTACTGCCTGAAGGTCCTGCTGCACGACTTCACGCATCACCACATCGAAATGGCCTGCAACTTGCTGGAGGTTTGCGGCCGATACCTCTTCTGCTCGCCGGATTCTCATCAGAGGACCAAGGTCTACCTGGAGCAGATGATGCGCAAGAAAGCGGTCACCGCGCTCGACTCGCGCTACGTCACGATCATCGAGAACGCGTACTACTTCGTGAACCCGCCCGAGTCGACCGGCGGCGTCGCGAAGAAGGACAGACCGCCGGTGCACGAATTCATCAGGAAGCTGCTGTATCAGGATCTATCCAAGACAAATACCGACAAGGTGCTCAAGTGGATGCGTAAACTCGACTGGGAGGACGAGAGCGTGTCGTCCTACGCCGTGAAATGTCTCACTGCCGCCTACAACGTTAAGTATCTTAATATCCGATGCGTGGGAAGCCTGCTGGCCGGCTTGGTGGCGCATTACGAGACGATCGGACCGCAGGTAGTCGACGGTGTGTTCGAGGACATACGGCTGTGCATGGAGATCAACCTGCCAAAGTTCAATCAGCGACGCATCGCCATGGTCAAGTACCTAGGTGAGCTGTACAATTACCGAATGGTGGAGAGCGGCGACATTTTCCGTACCTTGTACCAGCTCATCACCTTCGGCATCAGCACGGACCACTCGTCGCCGAGCGCCCTCGACCCGTCCGATAATCTCTTCCGCATTCGTCTCGTGTGCACGCTACTCGAGACTTGCGGCCAGTACTTTAGCGGTGGATCCAGCAAGAAGAGACTCGACTACTTCCTCGTATTTTTCCAGAACTACTTCTGGTTCAAGTACACGGACCCGATTTGGACGCCCGAGAATCCGTTCCCCGTCGGGATAGATTACATGTATCGCGACACGTTGACGATGCTGCGGCCCAAGATGCAGCTGTTCCAGAGCTACAAAGAGGCGCAATGCGCCGTGGAGGAGCTGCGCAACACCCTCTACCCGGCCTTGGGTAATCCTCCCGTCGACGACACCGCCGCGGAGGGCGAAAACGACATGGGCGTTATTCCGGAGGGCGATGAGGAGGCAGCGGTGACTGGAAACGGTAGCGGGGATGCGAAGGGCATGGCCGAGCTGCACTTCGAGGAGTCCGAAGATTGCTCGGAGGCGCAGTCGGAAGAGGAGTGGACGGCCGACGCGGAACGGGACGACGCTATGGGCACTCAAGAGAACACTCAGGGCGACCGATCTCAGAGTCTCTCGGCGGAAGGTGGCACCGAGGGCGTGATTGTGGACGTGACGGAGGAACTGAACGCAGTTCTGCCGGCCGGGCCACGGCGCGTCAGCTGTCCGGAGGACGACGACTTCCTGTCGGCGCTGGACAAGATGGTCTCGGACAATATACAGGACCGTATGCGAGATTCGGTGAAGCCGCAGCAAGTCGACATCTCCGTGCCGTTGCACGTCAAGAGCACGAAGAAGACGTACGAGCAGCTGCAGGAGAGGCCGACCGATAACGGCACGGTAGATTTCATACTGATGCTGCGAAAGGGCAACAAACAGCAGTACAAAAATCTCGCGGTCCCCGTGTCGTCCGAGTTGGCCATGAATCTCAGAAATCGCGAACAGGAGCAGAAAGAGGAGAAGGCGTGCGTGAAGAGACTGACTTTGACCATCACCGAGAGGCAAGAGGAGGAGGACTACCAAGAGACTATGAATCAGAGCACGAGACCGGTCACAGTCAACTTGAACAGAGAACGGCGGCAAAAGTATAACCATCCTAAAGGAGCGCCCGATGCCGACCTCATCTTTGGACCGAAGAAAATTCGATAAACGAAGAGTGTCGAATAATTTTTGAAGACTAAAGACAATTGCACGATTGTCAACCTTCATCGAGAAGTTGAGACAGACGTGAGATGAACTCGGCATAGTTAACAAGTCGACTAACTTCGGCTACAATCAGTTTTGTCGCTTTGCGCTATGACCTGTCTCAGAGTTTCTTCGAAGAAACGAACGACTAATGATGTCTCGTACGCATCAAAGCTTGGATGAATGTATTATATTGTACAAATGATGCAAATTAGTGCATTTGAACGAATAAGCTGCAAGACTGGTACAATAAAGCCCTCGTTAAAGAAGTTACGATAACTAACTTCGATATAGATACAGGATGAGGCAATAACTTTGTCCACCTCGAATATCTCCGCTATTTTTAGAGATATGAAAAAATTATAATTACGAAAGTTGTACCGTATCAAGGGAGCCATAACATGTTAGTAATATTTTTTCAAAAAGTGGATAACATTACTAACATGTTATGGCTCCCTTGATACAGTACAACTTTCGTAACTACAAGTTTTTCGTGTCATCATTCATCTAAAAATAGCGGAGATATTCGAGGTGGACAATGCTATTGCCTCACCCTGTGTATATATATATTACGAATGCATAAAATTCATTTCCCTGGCCGGTATGTATCAAGTATATTACATATACATGTGTAACAAATACATATATTAAAAACTCGTTCGCCATGGACTATGCAACGCACTGCCGATTTTTGATTACGCGCTGGGTTTATTGTATCATATAAATGCACTTTTAATGCAACTAGCTATACATCGATACGTATGATTTATCATATACATGATAACTTTTGTGTGTCGCGAGTGTTGTTACTAGACATTTTCACGCAGACTTATAATTCATCATTATTTTGGCTTTCAACAAAAGCTATGTTGTGATAAAATATACGATCAATTTATATACAGCAGCCATACTTCTAACATGATTCCACACCTTATTTGAGAAAAAAAAAAGTTCTCTCCTCTGCAGATGGCGAACAACATACAAGTGCAATTTTGCAGGTTGTATCAAACTCTCTATTGAAAGAGCGAAACAAAATGAAGAGGATTCAACACTGATGTACAATTATTTATTTTTATCTAGGAAATTATCGCCATGTACAAAATGAATATAAATAAATGTTTTAGGTGCTTCAACGTTTGATACGGCTCCGTAGTAAGTTTTGCAATAACGACGTCACGTATATCTACCGAAATACATACATATATGAAATTGATAAACATGTAAATTAACACTAAATGCACATCTGCACTGCCTCTTACAGATCTTCCTCCGCGTCTTCGAATTGACCTGCTTCGATGTCCATAGCTTCTTCCGCCTCCGCTCCTGTGTGAGTGGTCCCCATTTGCTCTGTTAATAATGAAAAACTCGAGGTTTATCGCTCCCTACGTTGACGTCAAGTTCATTCAACATTTATTCATCGTGAAATACGGTAGTGTCTCGCCCCAAGTGTAAGCCTAGCTAGACCTCAATTTAACACGAATCCTTCGCGTCATTTTGTAAGCCGAAAACCATGCAATATTATTATATCAAATGTGTAGTACAAGCATCGCTACTTACTCTAAAGAAATTTCAGCCTGAATAATACAAATAATGGTACAAATTACCTGTTGGTAAGATACAAGGTGCGTCTCCAGCGCCAACCTCTTCATCGTATTCACCCTCGTAGTCTTCTTCGGCGTCCTCGTAGATGTCCTCTTTAAGTTCGCAAGTTTTTAACCGTCGCGGCCAATTGGCAACCAAGATCGTTACCTCATTCGATTACTTACCGTCAGAAAAACTGTCCTGTGGGTCAGGATGAAGCGCTTGGCACGCATTCATTGCTTGAAACATTAATTCTAAATTATTTGTATTATCCGGCGCAAACTGCATTTCCGTAATCGGAGCGTCCGTATCGTCGTCCTCGTTTTCCGAACCGTTTTCGGACGACAGCGGTAATGGCATGTCTGCGCAAATAAAATTATGCGGTTACCCCATTGGGCCGATCTTCGAGTTGTAATGGCACGGACACGGGTCGGAGCAAAGTCGATTGACAAATCCACAAAAATGGAATAGTATTTATCAATTAATGTTCTTCTTAGTGAAACGTACCTGGCAGGTCTACTTTGGCATCCACCATAACGTACAAACATTGTCTCGGATGAACCTGTTCATCCCGCGCGATGGCGTGTAGCGAAATGTGAGGATACTCGAGCGAAAATCCCTGCTGCGTGTCGCTGTCCACCCAGGAGAGTACGCTGCCGACAAGAGAATGCACAAATTAGAGCGCACGATGTCGCGGATCACGCGGAACGGCAAACCGAAGTGGAATCATTACCTCTCCGTAACGTAGAACGTGCCCTTTCCTACCTCCCTGTCGTTGATGTACACCGTAGTATTTGGCTCCTCGTGGCGTATCCCTTCCTGCGGCGGCAGGAAGCTGCTGAGTACCACCATGGTTCAATCTGCAAAACGCAAGGCACCGTTTAGCGGAGGCAGCTAGTGTCGCGAGTCCACGTTCGCGACGACCCAGCGCAGCCCCGCTCGTCACCGCGCACCTACGTAGACGCGTCGCACAGCAAAAACAAAACAGAGCTAGACGTGCGAGCGCCGTCGACGTCGCGGGGCCGGAGTCGCGGTTGCCTGGCGGTCAACACCTCGGCGGGGAAGCAGCGAGAGAGAGAGCCGCGTATCTCCGCTCGCCCCTCCCCCTCCGCCCCGTGGGACCCGCGACTCGTAAACACCGGTGTGTCGCGCCGTCCATCCGGCGCTTTCTAACCAAGCGATCTCGGGACTCACCGCTCCCTCGTTTAGCCCGGCGAGATAGTTGCCTGCGAGACGAACCGAACGCGAACCGTCCGGCAATGAGGTCGAGATCCCTCGCGACGCACGCGGAAGCCGTGTCCACCCACCGGTCAACTCGCGCTTCGCCCGTCGTCGGCTGCACGAACGCAGTTGTCACGGACCGTCCGAAGTTGCCTGCTGCGCGCGACGCGGCGTGCGCGCGCGCGCGTACGCGAATCCGTGGCCTCCGTTCGACCGTCGGTCGCTCCGGATTTTCCGGGACCCCTGGGCTGCTTTCGCGAGAAGATCAAAATGATGCAGATTATAAAATGACACCGCGCTACGATTGGTCAAATCTGAAATTCCGTAGCATCACATTGACACTCTACACGGAAAGAACAATGTAGCTGCTGTAGCTAAAACTTAGCAAAATAGGGACAGCTAATATTTTTAGTTGTGATAGCTCAATATTTTGCTACGACAGCAAACCGTTTGCTGTCGCACCTAATACAATAGGCACAGTAGCAAAATATTGAGCTATCACAACTAAAATATTAGCTGTCTCTATTTTGCTAAGTTTTAGCTACAGCAGCTACATTGTTCTTTCCGT